TTATTTTATTTTTGTCTAAAATTAAAACAAGACTCTCCCTCCTACCCTGCTTACCAAAAAATGATGATGATGATGATGATGATGATGCAGGTGTGAAAACGCCCGAGTGACCCCAAATTCACATACTGCAAAAACAACTCGCAAAAGCCCATTTTGGTTCCCAAAGAAATAAGCCTAAAGCCTGTCCTGTTTCGCCTGACCGCAATTAAATAGGATGAAAACACATTGTGAGGCATCGTGGTGAAAATGTTTTCTAATTATTTTTTTTTGGCTCAATACCTTTTCCGTCCACTTAAAACACATTTTTGTTCGGACTTTATTAAAAAAACCCATTGATTAAAGGCACAAAAAATGTAAATTTTCAGTTTCTAGGGAATTTCAGGCTAAGGAAGATCCTTAACTTTGGCGGCAGTTTTCTCGTCAAATTTACCCCTGAAACCAGGCGAACCTGACCCCTGTCAAAGGCAAATATTCTGACTTCTGCTCAACATAGATGTATATATTAAAAAAACCCCCCAAAATAAAGTAGTTAAATGAACAGGCTTTAAGATGATGCCAATAACTCATATCCCCCAAAATTGACGAGCCCCTGATTCTACCACGTCGTTACTCTCTTTAATCGTCACCGATGACTTGTTAGCAAATTTAAAAGTTGGATGACCAACAAAATCTAAAAGTAAGCCCACAAATGACGGTCACTGCAAGCTAAGGTTCCGACAAGTTGCCTTTGATGTTAGCCTAAAGCGGGCCAAACATGAGCTTAGTAGGGGACAATACACAAGAAGAGACAAAGAGGAACCGCCCATCAATCAACAACAGCTGCAGAATGTAGCAAAAGACGGTATTGACTGAAAGGATCCAAAAAGGAACTACGATCTACAGTAGGACCTTAATACAGGGCCTTTCGCTTACCTTGTGCGTCATCGATTCCAATACCGATGCAAATCTCATCGCCTTCATCACCCTCGCTACTGGAATCCCCAGCTGTTGTGGGGGTAGGCTGCGTCGTGTTGTCGGTGTCGTGAAGAGCTGTATCGTTAAGAGTCACGTTACATTCCGCAAATAAGCCAGCCCTTCCGTTTTCGCCGAAACGCAACCAGTCAGCTGTAAACATGCCCATCACGTATAATATTATGGGCACAATGTAGCAAACAAATCCCAGAAGTCTTATTAACTTAACTCTATTATCAAGTTGCATCCTGCTGACCTTACTGTGCACAGCCCACAAGACGTCACCTGAAACAAAAGTAGTAGATATCAGTCTTTCTGCCTGTCTATCCATCCATCTATCCATCCGCTGGTCGGTTCGTCCTTCCATCCGTCCATCCGTCCGTCCATCCGTCCGTCCATCCGTCCGTCAGTCCGTCTGGCTGTGCGTGCGTGTATGCGTGTGTGTGAGTGTGTGTGTGTGTGTGTGTGT